CACACACACACACACACACACACAGTCTTGGTGCTGGTAACAGCTGCTTAGCAGCAGAATCACTGAGGGAGCTCATTGCTTGTTTGTTTCCTCCTCTGCTTTGTTTCCGTTGGAACATTTTGTTACAGCAGACATAATGGAAGAAGAATTTTCTGGTTTTTGACCCGCGCTGTTTCCACCTCACTTTCATCCAGTCTTACACTTCCAAAATACATCTGTGTTTGCTCAACTTCTGAAAATGCCAGTTTGTCTTTGGTTATTTATTTCTGACTGGCGGGGGCAGCTCCCGGGATGTGCTGGTCGGAGCTGGGTTTGTAATCCAAAACATTTTATGGACATCGACTTCCTGTCAGTGTATTTACAGACTGTAACCTGCCGATCATCATTCTGTGACACAAAGCTAGTGTTGCAGCTCAACAATGTGTACATAAGGGGTGTGTGCTGTGCAGCTTTTGTGTGTTACATAACGGCCTTCACGTGTTTGACAGGTAATGCATGAGTAAACCTCACAGCATGTACGAATCTGAACTAATTATTAGACAACAGAAAAAGGCGAAGTCTTGTATCTAACCTCACCTTAAAGCAGTGACATGCCTTTTTTAATTAAACTGTGACTACCCAGTTCATATGCAGAATTGCGCTTTCTAAAAGCAAAACTATCCCCATTTAAAAACAATTTGAAAGAGAGAAAACACTGACCTTTAAATGAATAACTCAGCTATGCAAACAAACAGACGTTTGAGAGGTTTGTTTTTTAAATGCCTGACAAGGGCAAGGGCTTCTGGTTTAGCTCAGTTTGATTAGTTATTTAATTAAAAATCACATTATTTTTCAATAATATTGTATATAAAGGATGAAAGCATTGCTTCTGTATGAGACATGATTCTGATGCAACCATTCATAAAGTGAAACACAGTACAGAGAGAGTGAACTTTCMATTCAACTGAAGTGGTTTCTTGTTAGCGTAGCAATTAAATACACTGAGCAGAAAATTAAGCAATGTAAGGCCTTGGGCTTTGTTCTACTGAACAATGTYCTGCTCTCTGTGGGTTTGTGTAATTGAGCGGAAAAGTAGTTTAAGTTATATTTTAGGGTTAAAGCTATCATTTATTAAAGCTTCAAAGGATGCTGAAGGGGCTGACCAGTAAATATGACGACCTACAGGGAGCTGACGCYAGAGGGTCGGTGTGACAGCAGTGAGTGAATTATGCAAGAAGTGACAAGGAAGTGAAATCAAGTACGTGACTCGGATACATTAAAACTTAAAAAAATCCGCCGCTGCCTGGAGAATGACTCATCCGGCGTAGTCCGCCGTGTCACTCAGCAGTTTAAGCCGAGCTGCATTAAAAGCCATTAGCTGTCAACGCTGATGTTACATCCACATGTGAAAACAACCCAGGAGCAGTGAAATCTTTAGGCTAACACACACACACACACCATCAAAGAAACAGATGTTTCTAAACAACCTCTGGAAATTTCTTCATGTAGAAGTATTCACGTCTGTCAGAATAGCGCTAAAAGATGGAGAGCTGCACATATTTCTCTCCCTGAACCTGAACGCATTCGAAGCAGAAGTAAGATAGGATACAAAAACAAGCAGCTACCAATTTTCATATCTTGTTTTTCTTACTCTGGCTTAAAAAAATATCCATACAAAGGGCTAATGTAAACATGAAAGCAAATGTGGGCCTTTGTCCGCCTGTTAAAGTGTTGACAAATGCTTTCAAATGATGATTCTTACAAAAAGGACACAATCGTCCCTCTTKTGTGTGAATAAAAGTTGTCCGCAAATATATACTTACTGCTGAGTAACCACCCAGTGATGATAAAATAAACCATATTATTAATTTTGTTTACCCAATTATAAAAGTCAGGCACAGGCRAGTGTATGGAGGACCGAAACTGTCATAATGAAAAATAAAAGCAGAAATATATACGGACCAATACATAAATTATTTATAATAATAAAATTATTAATACAAATGTATTTATTTGTATTGCTCAAAAAAWTAATAAATACACTTAAAATGCACCAGGTAAATAAAAACAGTAAACTTCACCTCATTTTATAATTTAATTGACTTTTATATTTATTTCCTGGGGGAAATACTGGGGGAGGGGTGGCGCAGAGGGTAGAGAAGCTGTGTCTGGGATCAGAAGATTGCTGGATCGACCCCCTAAAAACCAACCAGCCCCAACTTGAGCCCCTGAGCAAGGCCCTCAACCCCCCAGCTGCTCGCCGGGCACCGAAACTGGCAGCCCACTGCTCCACATGTGTGTTCACATGTGCGATGGGTTAAATGCAGAGACTCAATTTCCCCTTTGTGGGACGATAAGGGTCAATATATATATATTTTTTCCAATAAAAGCATACACAGTGGATCTGCACATGAATCCTGCTCCTTCCTGTCTGTTGACCAATAAGAGAGGAGCTAACCCAGGAAGGACCACCCACATTGTTTGTCATGAGGCAGAAATGCATAAGGTAAAGTAAAAACAAGACACAGAGAAATGTAAAAACAACACATGGTAATAAAAAGACTGGTGGGAAAAAATAAGAAAATAGACACATATGCATGTACACGTAAAAATAAAAATAAAAATATATATACAAAAAACAGTAAATTTAAATTGTGCTAAAATATTTAATAAATTGGAACTAAGCAGGAAAAATAAATATGAAGGTCAGTAAATGATAAAACATGAGAAGTTCTTTTTTAATTGCATTGGTCCGTTTTATGTGTATTTATTCATTTATTGGTCCATTTATCGATTTCTGCTTTTATTTCTAATTATGACAGTTTCGGTCCTCCATACCAGTGCTATCAAAGAAATTACAAGAACAAGTTTTAATCTGACACTGTGTAATCTTATCATCTGATGCCCAGTTGGACTGGCTTGTCAGTGACTCAACATGTGCTTGAAAAGAGTCTCCTTATATAACTCATGACAGCACACACGTCCACCCGGCACACAAGATCAAAAATTTAAAAAACGCAGTTAATGCACTGAATAAGCGAACGTAACATAAACCGTTTACCATCACAACACAGTTTAACGGAGACTGTAGGGAGTTACCTGCCATTAGGAGCGCTTGGGATTATGTTACCGCTGGGCTCTCCTGTAGTGATGCAGCAGATGTTTTATTTAACGCAAAATAACCACTGCTTTCATAGTGACTTCACGTTTCTAATCTCAACAGGTTTGTCGGTTTGTAACTGGAGCGTTTTTTATTGCACACCAGTGGCCTTATCTCCATTCCCACAGACAAAGTCACTGGTTTTCTGTTTATTTACAAAACTCTCACTGGGAAAAACCCATTCATGAGATATTTTGCTAACACCACAGACACACACGCAGGGGCAAAAACATTATTGCCACCACTGTCAGATGATAAAATGTTTCAAAGCAAACAAAGTAGTCACAGTAATGGYAAGTGTCAGTTCTGTGTAGGGCTGCCACAAACGATTATTTTWATAATCGATTAATCACCAATTATTTATTCGATTAGTCGACTAATCGGATCATACGTTAATTGAATATAAAACATACAGCTTATCACGTCAGAATGCAGCTGCTATTATATAACCATGGTTAGATTTTAGCTATATGCTAACTAAAAATAATTGCTGTGGAAGGCAGGTTCTGCTCTGCAGATATTACACAGGTTTCTCTTTCATTTTCTTAAAATGATCCCACACTTTTGAGATCCGTTGCTGGGTAGCCATGAAACCAGAGCCTGTCTGTATAATGTCTTGTGACGTCCACGGCCTACCCCAGTTACCACTACTGTGCATGTGTGTCAAGGACAGAAAGGCAGATGTGGCAGTGGAAGGTGTCAAAGCAGTTTGGAGAGAAAAACAAAGTAAAGAACAACAAAAAAAGAAAACGATTAATCGATTATTAAATTAGTCATCTATTATCTTAATAATCAATTAGTCATCGATTAATCGATTAATCGTGGCAGCCCTAGTTCTGTGATATAATAAGTGATACTAAATTGATTTAATTCTCTATGTTTGACATGTTGCTTGGGGCTTTCAAATCTCAGAAAACAATTTTCTGAGTCAGTCAGACAGCAACATTATGAGAGGCCCCATAATGAGACGTAATCTGTTTAAGACATAGAACTGTGGCTAGTTTCCATGGCAGCAGCCAGGTTGAACCTGCAGGCATAAACAAGGYTTTCTGCTCTACACTGCAGCGCACCAACAGACAGGTGATTCTGTTCATGCACGTACAAGTGCAGAAGTCTGATGCTTTCATTTTTCCTCGACAAGTGAGACACAAATATAAACTGGAGTTATGACATGTTGTGATAAAATGCAGCCTTTTAGCTATCTCTTAATTTTGGAATACATATCAATAATAACTACAAGCCTGACACAATTAATGCTTAACAAATGATGAGATAATGACTTAATCCCTATGTATAATTGCAAAAAAAAAAAAAAGCTAATGACCTTTAATGACAAAACATAAGAAGTGAACAAGCAGTATATTTTTAAAAATATATATTTTACTCTTTAGGATGTAAATTATTAATTATTTTATGTCCACTGACTAAACAACATGACACATTTATTCATAGCAATGATAATAAGAATAAATACTAAACATAATTTTCTTCTGATACCATCTCTGTACCTATTTATATTTATAATTTGCTGCTACTGATAAAATCATGARCATGCACTCTACTTTTCAATAATTCTTGTCTCTAGATAGATAATTTAATTTTAGTTTAATCTATAATTTAATCTTAGTTTGTCTCAATTTAATCTCATTGTCTCATCGTTTTTTCTCATTACAGCATGATGTACGTTTGGTCTGTAATCTTTCTAAAAGCAAACAAAACTAAATCAACAACACTTAAAGTAAATGTCATACCAAAAAGCTTAAAGCTCTTATCACTAACATTTGAATAAACAGTAACAAAATGTTCTCTTGTTATCAGCTCATGTTGGTATTATCACTGAAAACCCTTGGCAGAGCTGAAGCAAMAAAACTGTGCACAGTCTAAGTTTAACAATATCGAGCTGAAGGCAGCACAGCAGAAAAACAGATTCGGCTAAAAATAGCACGCGTGGAGGGACGAAACTCTGCGGTTTTCTGCATCAATATTAAAACACTGAACTGCTGAAATAATCTCAGGCAGAATGCAAATTTAAAAACCTGCATTTAGTGAGAAGAGGAATAGAAAAACTGTCATTTTAAACGTGTCAGGAAGAAATTTAGTGCCTAACAATATGAATAACRAGATGCACGGTAGATCTCAGGTTAAGACAACCACGTAAAATGACGAGTAACTCTTGCAGAGCTTATTAAGGTAGGACTTTATTTACCGTGTGAGCGTTTAGCCAAGTAAATGTGTAYGCACTGTTTATTCTCTATTGTTTAATTAAAGTCAGCAGGTTTTTAAACATGTAGCACTTGCTTGTTCTGCTAGGTATAAAAAATGTATTGATGCAGGAGGAGCGTYGTGTCTCGTCGGTGCAAAGTGCAAATCCCATGATGATAAGAAGAACAGGCTTACTGTGCACACCTGCTGTGTTACCAAAGTGAAAAAGTCTAGAGCATCCCCCCTCAAAGAAACGTGTTAATAATAAATGTCCCAGTTGTTCTGAGAATGTTGGCATGGACACCGCCATTGTGAGGTCTGCTGGGGATCTCAACAAGGAGAGCTTTTATGACAGAGTGGTTGTTACAATTCAGCAAGGACACACACGTACTTGCCTGRGCAAGTTGCAACAAAGAGCGGTAAAATTCAGAGAACAGCGTGGATCGAGGTGTCCATTTAGAAAGACAAGGCTTCCTTAGAGGTCACATGTACAGACAAGTTAAGAAACAATTAATCAGAGATGCAGTGTGTGTGTGTGTGTGTGTGTGTATGTGTGTGTGTGTGTGTGTGTGTGTCCTACCTGTAGTCTGGTTGTGAGAAACAATCGAGAAGATCTTTGACTGTTAACCTGGTGTCTTCATTTACAATCTGAAACAAATAGAAAAGGATAAACATGAAAAGCTCAATAAAACAAGTTTTTAATGCTGCCAGAAGCCATTTTTCTTTCAATAACTACGATACAAACCTTATTGGAAACTATGATGGTGAGCAGCATCTGGACTTCCTCTGAACCGGGCGCCGAGGACAAAACACTAAGGAATACAAACACAAATCTATTAGTCTTGCATTATCTGCAGCTACAGTCTGAATTAAAGAGAAGAACGAGCACATGGAAGACTTGACCAAACACTTGAATTAATCTGGCTGTTTCCAAGGAAACATGACTCCAGCAGACCAAAACGTTTTAATGTACATAACACATACAAGGTCATAGAGGAGCAAAGGTAAAACACCAGTTTATTCAATAAAACGTTAAAGGCATACTTCTTTTTATATAAAAGTAAAGCACTTCTGAATAGCGAATAGACTGCCTACAGCACAATGCTGTCATTCAGAACAGACATGGAAAACTATCAGCCAATCGTTACAGCACAATGCTGTCCTTCAGAACAGACATGGAAAACTATCAACCAATCGTTACAGCACAATGCTGTCCTTCAGAACAGACATGGAAAACTATCAACCAATCGTTACAGCACAATGCTGTCCTTCAGAACAGACATGGAAAACTATCAACCAATCGTTTTCAGTGTGGGTTGGACTCAACCATGGCAGTCCCTTGTCTCAGATCAGGCTTGTAATGTTTATGGACAGGATCTCAAGGTGCAGTCGTGGCGAGGAGGGTGTCTGGTTTGGGAACCATAGGGTCTCGTCTCTGCTGTATGCCAATGATCATATGCACGCCAATCGGTTGGTGTCTCTCGGTCCAAGACCTTCACAGTGAACTGGAATGGCCTGAGGCCATGGAAAAGAGTCTAATGCCACTTCCAGGTCGGGTGGGGGGTGTCTCTGCTTCAAGTGGAGGAGTTAAAGCATCTGGGTGTCTTGTTCACGAGTGATGGTAGGGCGGAGCGGAAAGAACAAGATCCCTGATATAAGCGTCTGAAATGAGCTTATGTCGTTGTGTGGCCGGGCTCAGCCATAGAGATAGGGGGCAGAGAGCCAACCTCATTAAAGGCCCTCACATACTCAAGCGTACTTCGCTCCGCGAAGGTCCGCACTAACTCGACGCGGACTTAATACGTAATCGAAGCGGCCGTCCTCCGGACTGGTCCGCACAGAGATCCATTTTTACGTGCGCGGTGTCGCGCAATAAACTGCCCGGCGAGTTCACGTCGAACAGTTTTGGATGCAACACCAAGCAGAAAAAGTTGAGAATCTGTGTCATTTGTGGAGGAAATGGAGTCAAAATTTGAAGAGCGTCTCATGGAGGAGATTAGAAAACGTTATTATGCGTCAATACAGGAATCTAAAGATTCTCAGCGAGCAACATATTTGTGGGAGGAAATAGTTCAGATCCTGGGTAAGTAGTTCTTTTATTTTGTTGTTTTAAAACTAAAATGCAAACTATCTCTTCCTCCTCGTCCTTCACACCATGACTGAAATTGTGAGAAATTAAGGAATTTGTCAGGCGGTCAGTACGCTCGTGTATGAAGTCTCAAACGTCTGCGGACAATATGCGTGGAGTCTGCGTGGCTCACGGACTGCACACAGTACGCCCAAGTATGTGGGAGCCTTCATGGGGAATTCGGAGTAGAGCTGCTGCTCCTCCGCATCAGGAGAAGTTGGTTGAGGTGGTTCGAGCATCTAATTAGGATGCCTCCTTGAGGCCCCTACTCAGAGGTGGTTCAGGCACATTGTATTGTTAGGAGGACCTGGGGAAGATCTGGAGGGATTATGGCCTGGGAATGCCTTGGGGTCTCCTAGGCACAAGAGAAGAGAGACCTAGGTCTCATTCCATTTCACTCTGAAGGTCTTGGACAGAGAGACACCAACCGAACCACATCACTGGCATTCAGCAGAGACAAGACCCTATGGTTCCCAAACCAGACACCCTCCTCGCCACGACTGCGCCTTGAGATCCTGTCCATAAACACTACAAGCCTGATCTGAGACAAGAGACTGCCATGGCTGAGTCCAACCCACACTGAAAACGATTGGTTTTGGACATAGAGTGCCTAGACATAGAGTGCTCTGTGAATGAGTAAATGAGGGCACAGATTGTAGAGTGAAATGCTTTGAGTATCCTGGTTGGATAGAAAGGTTCTATACAAGTACAGTCCATTTACCATTCAATGGGACTTGCCTGGTTAAATAATGGTAAATGAAAAATAAGGAATAACTTGAAAGCATCACCAGGGAAAGGGATGTCCGAGTTTCTGGACCTGTTGCCGCAGCGGATAAGCAACAGAAGATGGAGATGGAAAACTAACRGCTACCCAGAATAAGGCCACCAGAAAAGTAAATTTCCCAAATTCTAACATAGTTTCAACCTCAAACATTTTACACAGGATGGTGTAAGCTTTCACACCACACCACATCTGCTAATTCACAAAAGGAATGCTTTCAGTCTGCAGCAGRGTGACAAAGGGGATTCATGTCTGATGCAGAACGACTTCGAAAAACTTACAGAAGCTCAAAATTTTTTGCAGTTTGAGTTGACTTGACTTGTTGCAAATAATGAGGCCTGTATTTTAGATTTTCCCTCCACATTTTTCTTGTTACATTATTGTGTTCTGTCATGACTATATGCACATTAGGAATAAGTTAAGTAAACACATAGTCTTATATGCAACAGAGATTTTGCACATTTTGTATTTCTTTTCACTGGTTTGATAAAAATAGACAAATAATGCAAAAT